AAAAAAAAAAAAAAAAAAGAATGCATATCTAGCACCCAAGAAGGTAAAATTCACAACATGTGGTATCCAATCAAAGATTTTGAGGCATGCCAAAAAAACAAAACAAACAAATAAAAAAAACTAATGATGAAGACTTGTATCCAGAATTTATTAAAAGCTTTCAAAACTGCCTAGAGTGGCCACTCATGCCTGTAATCCCAGCACTTTGGGAGACCGAGGCAGGCAGACTAGGCAGACTGCTTGAGGTCAGGAGTTCAAGACCAGTCTGGGCAACATGGCAAAATCCCATCTCTTCCAAAAATAAAAAATTAGCCCGGCATGGTGGTGCACACCTGTAGTCCCAGCTACTTGGGGGGCTGAGGCACGAGAATTGCTTGAGCCCAAGAGGCAGATGTTGCAGTGAGCTGAGATCATGCCACTGCACTCCAGCCTGGGTGACAAAGTGAGACTCCATCTCAAAACAAAACAATACAAAACAAAACAAAAAAAACCACACACACACACACACACAAAACCCACAAACAAAACAAAAACAAACAAACAAAAAGAACTCTAAAAAATGACATCCCAGCCTGGGCAACATGGCGAAACCCCATCTCTATAAAAACTAAAAAATTAGCCAGGCATGGTGGAGCAAGTCTGTGGTCCTACCTACTCAGGAGGAGGTGGGAGGATCACTCGAACCTGGGAGGTTGAGTCTGCAGTGAGCAGAGATTGCACCACTGCACTCCACCCTGGGAGACAGAGTAAGACCCTGTCTGTCTATCTCTGTCTCTCTCTCTCTCACTCACACACACACACCACACACACACATACTCTGGCAGATTTGAACAGCCACTTTTGGTGGGAATATAAAATGGTACAGCCATGCTGGAGAACAGTTCAGCGTTTTCTTAAAGCATTATTTACACTTACCATACAGCTTGGTCATTCCACTGTCAGATATTTACCTAAGAGAAATGAAAGCATACATCCACACAAAGACTTGTATAAAAATGTTCGTAACAGCTTTATTTTTAACAGCCCCAAACTGGAAACAACCCAGGTGTCCATGGATATGTCAATGAACAAATCTAATCAATGAACTAGTACTTAGCAATAACACATGCTACCACACAGATGAATCTCAAAATAATTACACTGAGTAAAATAGGCCTGACCAAAAAGGGATATATGTTATATGATTCAATTTACATAGAATTCTAGGACATGCAAACTAGTAATGGGGCAAGAGTGCACGTGGGGACGATGGGCCTATTCCTCACCTCGATCACAGTGACAGTTTTACGTGGGGTATACTTATGCCAACACATACATACTTTAGATATGTGCAGTTTATCGGGTGTCAAGTATACCTCAGTAAAGCTAAAATAAAAATATTAGTGGGCTCTACATTCTGGAGATACTGGCAGTAAAAGTATTATTTTCAGTTCGAAATAGTAACTACACTTTGGTATAAATACTTTTGAACTTTATCTTTACAGCAAGGAAACCAAAAGGTATAAACATTCACTGACTGAAAAACAATGTCAAAAAGTCATCCCAGTATCTGTGAAGGGCTGGTCCCAGGACCCCTGAGGATACCAAAATCCTCAGATGCTCAAGTCCCTGATAAAAAATGGTGCAGTATTTGCATATAACCTACCCACATCCTCCTGTATACTTTAAATCATCACTAGATTACTTATATTACCCAATACAATGTAAATGCTGTGGAAATTGTTATACTGTATTATTTAGAGAATAAAAAGAAAAAATCTGTACATTTGGTACAGATGTAATTTTTTCTTAAATATTTTTGATCTGCAGTTGGTTGAATCCACAGATGTGGAATCCATAAATACAGTGGGCTGACTGTATATACTAAGAAAAATTACAAAGTGAAAATGAGGAATTCTCATTCAGTAAATGAAACCAAATCTAACATATTTCTCAACAATGAGTAAAACCACTTAGGAGTCAATTATTTGGTGTCTGACGGCTGTCTCTCTCCTGCATATTGTGGTTTATAGCAGTGGTGCCCTTGGGTTCAGAAACCTGAACTGTGGTCTTCAGTTGTTCCCCAAGCTCCTCTATCAGAGGCCCAGACGGTCCAAGAGGCGGGGAAGAGGCAAGTGGCCTTCCCTGACCGACATCAGACTCCTGGATGGCTGTGTTTCTGCATACTTCACCATTAACAATAAGAAGGGCACTGCTTTCTTCAAGAAAGGGACCTTGCAAAGAACTGACTGTCTCAGATGGACTATCTTTGAGTTCATCTTGTTCTGAGTCTGAGTCTGAGTCTGAATCTGAGTCCGAGTCTGAGTCTTCATTTCCAGATGACACAGTGCTATCCGAGTCCTCCGAATCACTTGCTTCAGAGCTGGAGGAAAGTATCTGCTGCCCAGAAACTGAATGTGCTGCTTTTAATGCAGTCTCTTCCTCCTGGACAAGAAGTGCTGCTGCTTCTAGTTCTTCCAGTTCTAACCCCAGCTGGGCCTTTGTAAGTGAGACTTCCTTTAAGGCTTCTGCAAGAGCTGCCAACTTTTTGGATCTTGACAATATTTTAAGAAGAAAGATTAGCATTATTTATTAATTGGCCTGAAGATAACAGGGTATACAGCTTCCAAAAAATAAAAAAGAAAATTGAATCTATATTTTACATGGCACACCAGGATATATACCATAAGAGATCCAATATACATATATAAAAAATGAAGCTACTGAAAGTATTACAGGGAGACAGTTTTCCTTTATGATTCTAAGAAGGAGGAAGGCTTTTCTAACTATGACTCAGTTTAGAAGCCACAAAAAAAAGACTGATAAATTCAACTAAATAAAAATCAATTTCTTGGCCAGGCACAGTGGCGCATGCCTGTAATCCCAGCACTTTGGGAGGCTGAGGCAGGCAGATCATCTGAGGTCAAGTGTTCAAGACCAGCCTGGCCAACATAGTGAAACCCCGTCTCTACTAAAAATACAAAAAAATTAGCTGGGCACAGTGGCAGGTGCCTGTAATCCCAGTTACTTGGGAGGCTGAGGCAGGAGAATCACTTGAACCCAGGAGGCAGAGGCTGCAGTGAGCCAAGATCACATCACTGCACTCCAGCCTGGGTGACAGAGGGAGACTCCATCTCAAAAAGAAAAAGAAAAAAAAATTAATTTCTTCTGGGCAATATATTTATAATAAGTGTGTGTGTGTGTGTGTGTGTGTGTGTATACATATATTATAATAAAGCCTCATTCTAACAGAGTTCCTAATAATGAGTATATAACAATCCAATAGAAAAATGGACAGAAGATACAAGCAGACAATTTTCACACAAGGAAATACAAGAAACTCTTAAATATATTAAAAGATGTTCAACTCTAGTCAAATAAGAGAAATACAAATTAAAGTCCTATTGGAGATCTATTTTTCATATGTCAGACTGGCAAATACCCAAACATTTAATATTATTCTGTTAGCAAGACTACAAAAGAAAAGGCACTTTCATATACTGATGGAGGGAGATTAAATAGCTTCAAACCCCATGAAGGAGAACTTAGCAGTAACTTCCAAAATGGCAAATATATACACCCTGAAGCCAGCAGGACCCATGTTTGGAAATTAAACACATGTAGCACACAGGCTATATGACACAGGTCTGAGGTTGTTTACTGTGACATTGTTTTTTAATACCTAAAAATGGGAAAAAACCAAATGTCCTTGATATGAGACTGGCTGACTGGTTAAATAAGTGATGGCATATCCATTCAAAGAAATAGCCTACAGCTGTACAATGAATGAAGCTCTCCATGGGCCAATCCAGACTTACTGCTTAACACCACAAAAGGTTCACCCTATGTATATGCCACATATACGTAAAAAGGGAAAAAAACAAGAAAGATATCAAACATATTTCTATTTGCTTGTATAATTCTCAATAAACTCTCCAAAGTGACAAAAAAACAGAAACTTCTGTAAAGGAGACAGGGTGGGAACTGGAAACATGGGGGATGACACGGGACGATGGTGTGACGGAGCCTTTTCACTGCCTATTATTTTTAAACCCATATAAATGTTCACAATCTTAAAGTGTACCGGGGGAAAGCCAGTATCAGAAAGCAGCATGGGGTGCTTTCTTCTTTTCATGAGGAAACCATTTCATATTATTTCAGATTTTTTTTCTCTAAATTACCTGCTAGATTTGTAATATTACACTGTATCGAGTAAATAAACTCTTCCATTATTAACTTGGATGCAGTTGCTTTGTTTTGGTTTCTAAAAGAACCAAAATGACACAAACTGCCATTCTCCAAAGATGACTATTATTCTAAAGGGGAAACCTGATGTGGCGACTGAAGAAAGGCAGCGGTGAGTGCAAGCGGTCAACACGCTGACATGGTTTCTACGTTTCCAATTAGAAGACTAAATGAACGTATAAAACATGGAGTGCCTTTGAGACAAACTGCACGAGGGTGAGATTACAAGATAAATTCATTTGTAAAAGTGCAGTTCATCCCATAATATTGGGAAAATGAAGCTTCATTTCAGTGGAGCTGAGGCAAACGGATGGTACAATGGGAAATACCGAACAAAGATGGTATTTTCATCTGGGTGCCCGTGTATATTTGAAATGCTATTTCTCAAAATATTTAGCACAATGAGATTGTGCAGGGATTGCAGCCCCCCTGCTGCTGCCCCTTCACATGTAATCAGGCCACAGAAGCAGCACTGCAGTGTCCAAAGGTGAGCGGGAGGCACAGTGTGGTGAGTGGGAGACGGCCGTCAGCCATCGTTCACAGGCAGCTTTCTCTTATGTAAGGAAAGCCCTGGGTTTCAGTGCCAGAATTTCCAGAGTGCTTAGAAAAGGGGAGGAAGTTAGGATGAAGAGGAAAACCAAGGTGAGATCCACTAGAGTCAGTTAATGATTCACCAAAGAATTATAACCCCTGGCTAATCTTTTATCAGTCTGAGGCATTTTTAAAAGCAGTTATGGAATATGACAGCTGCAACATAATTTGCATTGATGCCCAAGACGGGTGTAGATGATGTCCACTACATATTTTAAAACCTTGACTACCAGTGGTAAAGGATTCAGTCTGAGCTGCTGAATCACTTTAAAACATCTCTGGCCCAAGGTTCAGTCAGCCTAAGAACTAGTACACCACTCTGCTTCTCCATGAAGGGGAGTTCTCTCTGGGGAGTGACACACAGCTTAAGAAATAGAGAGTGATAAATTTGGGAGAGGATTTTGCCTCTAACTATAATACTAGAAATAAAAGTTTAAAATAAAAGCTTTTACTTCAGTGACTCTATCTCATTTTAATAGTCATGACAAATACTTTTCAACAATATACAAAGAATGATGTTCCACTGACATCACTGCACTTGCTCCACTAACCACCCTGTGAATCAGTGCCATTGTTATCCCTACATTACAGATGAGGAAACTGGAGCTTGCAGGGGTAGGAGAGCTGCTGAGGTTCACTCAGCTAACAAGGGGCCTCCCATGAATACACAGGCTCTGTAAAGTGTCCTTTCTTAAGGCCACATTCTTTACTTCTTCCCAATTTGAGCTCCACTCAGCTTCTTCCAAATGAGCAAGTTCTGACTTGCACAAAACCCAGAATCCTCCAAAGGAACTGTGATTAATATATTTAGCTTAACGATGTTAAATGAAATATCCATATAAGCTTCATCTTTGGAGGTTTAGAAAAGAAGGGGGCATTTTGAATTATTTTTGTGAATATTGCTGAAGATATTAAACATTCCAATTCTCAAGCTGATACTATTTGGATCTTTGTTATTGTCTACAATACAGATATTGTGTCCTGTCTTTTGCAACAGTATAAATGTGGAATTCCAAAGCTTCTCCCCTGGAATTTTGGCTGTTCTCAAAAAACAAACCCGACACACAGTGGGACTAAAAACATCAAGTGTAACAGACAGAAATGTGGTGAAGCTGAGTCCAGGGGCCGTAATAGGAACTCCAGCCTGTAACCAGCTGGTGTGAATTTTTATCCTTTAGGAAAAAGTTTCTCACTTTCGGCAATATATTATGTTTAAAATCACCAGGTTATACAATAAGTGTACATATATATACACACACATATATATATTTATGTGTATGTGTATATATATATATATATATATATATCTTGTTTTTCATTTTTGATCCTTCAGCAAGCTTCATTTCTATTTTATTATCTCACCTTTACTACCTCAAGCTGGTTAGCTTCCTAAATTAATAATAAAGTTCTGGAAGAAACTTTAATAGAAGAAACATTCTGAACTGTCCCCCATTCTTAAAGAATGCTAGGATAAGAACTGATTAAAATTTCAAAATAGCATTGGTGTGGAATGTGACACAACAGTCTGAGGAATCAAAGTTGTTTTTTTTTTTTTTTTATTCAATTGCTTAGCATAGATAACCTAGTAATCATTGTTCACAAAAAGCAAAAATATTCCTGTAGGGCAAAAAAATTAAGCCACAAAAGAGTAACTGTTTTGCTTTTTCAAACACTAGTACAATTAGAGTTGATTCTAATCTGCCACTCCTTGTAAATTCTAGAATCTACTTCTGTAATAGACTTACCTTTTCAGAAAGCAGTTCACTTAAAGTAGGCAGTGGTTTTTCTCTGTCATACTCAAAACAGACTAGGCTAGTTCACGTCCAAAAGCTTGGTCAAATGGCATTATTAGGTAAACCACTCTTACAAACATTAGGTATGTTTTCTTTTGGGGGGGTATGGGGACAAGGTCTCACCCTATTCCCCGGGCTCTGGAGTATAGCGGCACAATCACAGCTCCCTATAGCCTTGACCTCCTTGGGCAAAAGTGATGGACCCACCTCAGCCACCTGAGTATCTGGGACTACAGGCACATGCCACCACACCTAGCTAATTTTTAAATTTTTTTGTAAATACGGGGTTTCCCTACGTTGCCCAGGCTGGTCTCAAACTCCTGGGCTCATGTGATCCTTCCACCTTGGCCTCCCAGAGTGCTACAATAACAGACGTGAGCTGCTGGCCTGGCCATGGCATATTTTGATACTCTCAACACACACATATGCTGAGTTACTAGTTACAGTATATGTTTTTTGTTTGTCTCACTGGGTTTCTTTTAAGACAGAGTCTCACTCTGCCTTCCAGTCTGGCACATGGAGCGCAGTGATGTGAGCTTGGCTCACTGCAGCCTCTACCTCCCTAGTTCAAGCAATTCTCCTGCCTCAGCCTCCCAAGTAGCTGGGATTACAGGCATGTGCCACCATGCTCAGTTAATTTTTGTTATTTTTAGTAGAGACGAGGTTTTGCCACGTTGGCCAGGCTGGTCTCAAACTCCTGGTCTCAAAGTGATCCACCCACCTTGGCCTCTCAAAGTGCTGGAACTACAGGAGTAAGCCACCAGACTCAACCAGTTATATGTTTTATATTTAAGTGAGAATCACCTACCTGTTAAGAATGTATTTATTATAGAATGAAGAGACACTGCATTTAAAAGAGACAACTGGATACTACTACTGTCATATTTTAATAAAATCACACTCAGATTTTTCTTAGAAAGTTACT